CAGTTCATCTGGAATGTATGCTGGTTCAGGTGATGCAGCAGGTGGGACAACATCTTCTTCCTGCTGAGAGGAGTCTTCAGAAGATTCACTGTCTGAATCTGAAGAGGGCAAGTTTTTGCGAAAAACAGCTAGAGGAACCTCCCAGCTGTCATCACTTTTCTCTGGTTCTTCAGCCTGAGGAGGAGATGTATCTGCTTGAACTGCTGCTTCTGCCAGGGTTTCCAGAGGGTCTGCATGAGGTACTGATGGAGTTTCTTCAGTAGTGGTGAAATCCTGAGCATCAACAGTGGGAATGTCAACATGCTCTGTAGAAGACATCCCAGAAAAATCAGGCATTTCTTCATCCTGATAAGGAGCAGTACCCTCAGCAGCATTCTGAGGAACATTTGCTGAAGCAGTAGGTGCAGCAGCATCTTCTGGAACAGGTGCAGCAACACCTTCAGAAACAGGATGTTGAGAGGCTGCTGTTGCCATGCTGGGCTGAGATGTCTCCCCCTGAGTTGATGCTAGGGGAGGTGAGTTGTTGGATGATGACTCGGAGGAGCTGGAGGACAAGGCTTGAGCCTGTGGTACTGCAAAGATAGGATCCCCTGCTTCATCATCAGTTTCTTCATCTACCAAATGAAGACCTCTTCGTGGATTTGCCCGAACTGGAGTGCGGCCACCTCTGCCTCCTCTTCTTCCACCTCTGCTTCCTCTTCTAGGAGAGATTTCTCCCCTCCGGCGTTGTGACCCTGCAGTATTCAGATCTGGAAAGGGGTTCATGCGCTTGGACCGGCGAGTTGGAAATCTTCCGGCAGTGGAAGAGGGACCCACGAAATCGAAGTTGTCTGGGTCAATCGGATTCAGCTCGTCTCCGGGCTCAATGTAGCTGATAGGAAGAGCATCAAGGTTGACTGGATGAACAATGATAGCCAGATTTGGGTCTGCTCGTTCAGGTGCTGCAGCATCGTTGTGGACATCATCTTCGGCTGGAAGGGGATTTCTAGGTGGAGATGCCATGATACAGTAGATAAAAATTTCTTCTTTGTGCTTGTGATTTGAAAGTGTGAATTTTCGAAAGATTAAGCACGAAATTTATAAGCCCTAATTTTTGCTGAGAAAAATCGAAGTGGAGAAGATGAAGAAGTGGGGAGCGTTTTTCTTGGAGAAAGTGTGATTAAGGAGAATAACACTTCCTTTGGCAGTTTAAGGCAAAACGTGACACATGGCACAATAAGGAGTGGACTTAGTGGAAATAAAGGACTAACCCATGTACCCATGAGCC